TAACAATAGTAAAAAAATTAAAAAAAAACATAAACAAAATTTAAAAAAAGTTTAATAAAAGAAGTAAATAAAATATACATATAAAAAATTAAAAAACATAATAAAAATAAAATAAAAATTATAAAAAAAAATTTTCGATTAATATAAAATACATAAGAAAAACCTAATAAATAAATTATTGTTATTAAAAAATCTTTTTTATTTATTTTTTTATTTATTTATTTTAAATCACTATATAAGTGATGAAATTCTCCAAATTCACTTCGTTTATCATTTATTGGATGTTTTCCAAATGATTTTTTATTGATAAAATACTTTAAAACAGTAGCCGAAGCTAAATACTCATCATCTGACGAATCCATATCTTTTCACTTCAATTTCACAAACACGAATGAACANTCAAATAGTCAATGACGCATACGTCCAGTAGGAGAAACAGTGCGTCACGCAGCAGCAAGTATGGCTGAGCGGCAAAGGGGAAGGTGCAGAAGACAGCGCCAGCTACCACAAGCACAACAAAAAGGCCCGAAGCAAAAATATCCGCATACAAGCGGCGAGTATCGCTATTCAGATAAGACAAGCTACTGAATATGTCCGGTGCGCCATTGCCAAAGGCGACCAATGTCACACCAGCAACGTTCTCGCTCATGCGCATCATGCGCGCCAGCATAGCTAAAGCGGGACAAAAGCTAGAGGATTGTTAATACTAATAAAAAATAAAAATAAACACATTTTGTGCGTAAACTATGCAGAACCAAATGATGTAGTACTGAAAGTCCATGGAACACAGTTTTGTATACAAGCGAGCCAATGCATACATATATGTATGTAAATACATAGGTACATGGACCTCATGCATAAAAAGTGAGCTTAAGCTACGACACGATTTTCAGTACAAATTCTAGAGCTTGGCTCACTTTACCAGCCAGTGCAAAATTGAGTCTGAGCTCAAGCTCACTTTTTTTGCATGACGGCCAATATCTTTCACATATTTGCGGACACCACTGCGTATACTCAACGCTTGGTAGTTTATACAGCGAGCTCTTAATAGTATATACACCTTCAGTATATCGTAAAAAAACAAGTGTTTCATTATAAACTTACAATATATCTGCTGTGACACCTAATATAGTGAAGCCAAGCGCAACAACCATGAGCAGTGCGAGTGATGCAAATACGGCTCCGGTTGTTGTGGATACTTCCAGCACACAAAAAATGATATGCGCGTAGTTAATGAAGTAAACATTCGATTGACAGGAGGCAGACGTTTCAATATAGGAACAACGTTGATCCTGCGGCAATGTAATAAGGGTGGTGCAAACTCGCTGCAAACAAAGAAAGATATATACGTACATACATACATATGTGCACATTTAATTCAAATAAATATGAAAATTTTACATACTTTAGCGACATCCATGGCAAAATGTTCGTGGCGCTTGATTCGTGGCGATGTTTGATTACTAGCATTGAAGCTCATCATTGCAGCGGTATTGCACTTCGTGTGTTACGTGAAAGGTGTCGGGAAACTTGTATTTGTTTTGATTTTTATTAAAAAGTTTAACACAACTTCTGACAAATATGTATTTGCGAGACAAATGTACAAAACAAAATCATGTATTTCGTTTTTCTTTTTTCTTCTATAAATACTTATACAGAGTGGTCCAAGGACATGATTCAATAATTAAAGCTTTGCTCATTAGTGACATTAGAGATTTGACACTCCCTTAGCTCGCTTACAAACGCTTTGCACACACACACACACGAACCCACACACAGCGGCTTCCCTGCAAACCATTTTATCAGAGTATTCTGAATCGTAAAAAATTTTTAAAGAATTCGGAAAGATACCATCCGATTTTTTGCCGAATTTT